TATGAAGCGATTACAGATGGTCAAGAAGAAAGCTGCCCAAAAGAAACTCAAGAAGTAATGTGGCCAAGTAGGTTTTTATATCATATTAGCCTAAAGATGAAAGGCTTATTATTAAGATATCTGTAATATACTGTAATTTAATAAAAGTCTTCATAATCAAATTTCTATTGTTTCTTGCCTTAAAATGCTAAATATATATAACAAAACTTGGAAACGTTTATTTTAAATCAGTCTTCAACATTTTTATTTTAATGATTTCCATAGTGTGTGAAAACAATGATTAGAATGACTGGTTCTCGATGAGAACTTCAGAAGATTGATAGCATCTGTGAATTTAAGGAAAAAGAATTAGTTCGTCTTCTAGCAAAGCCCCAAGAGTTGATCCTGATGAATGAGGTGCCTTATGTGGTGGCAGGGATGACCCAATATAGTTTTTCTATTTTCCTACCCGTATTCTGGGTGTTCATTTTCTGTGCTAGCCCCATTTCAACTGACTCTCCCTTTCCCTCCCAATTATTTCATCTTTTTTAAAATTATTTTTTCATTATTGATTTCTCATATCAATGGATTTTCCTAATTGATTTATCATACTTCATATTGTATCTTTACCTTTTTTTATCACCTCATTTCAGTTATCGAAGGATACATCTTTTTCCAATAAATTGTGAACTCTCTTGGTGTTTAATACAGTATTTTTTCTCAAGTTGCTCACTTTACCTACATTGCCAATGCAATATATGCACATAGTACGTAATAAATGTTGAACTTTGATTCATCCTGGTTATGCACATTCCTGATAAGTTTGGGAGAAAAATATCATTTCCCAAGGGTCTTTGCAGATAAAAATGTATGAATTGTTCACACACTGATGGCTTCTTCCTATACCATGAAAGAAAAGGCTATCTTACTTAGTGCTCAAAATGTTATAGTATTTTACCTAATTTTAGCTAACTTTGTATACAATAAGCTCCTATATAATGATTAATTCTTGAGATTGTTTTGTACATTGTTAACCCGTTTATGCCAGAGGTTGCAAATTTTTTTGGTGAAAAATCAGACCTTGGAGATGACCTTGAACAGTAGGATATAAATAACTCCCACAAGCTGAGGATTGCAATAATGGAACACTAGGCATAAATGGGTTAAGTCAGAAAATGTGGAAAGTCTGAGTTGTTGTCTTACTTGCAAGCTAACAAATTAACCAGCAATTGTTGCACATGTATATTCTGAGAGAAGATAGGCAGCCCTCTGCATCAGAGAAACAGTTTATTTTTCACAGCAAAAAAACTGGATATCCAACAAATTCCCACATTCACAAGGACTGTGAACAGCCTGTTCCATCAACCTTAATGTGTGCTACTAAATCTTCACTCTACAGATCTCTAATCTCAAACTGTCTTCCTTAATCCCTAGGTTTTTCTAACAGCATTATTCTAAAGTATATTGATAGGTGATCTCTATAAACACAAAGCTTTTAAAATTAAGCTTGGTCTTTTTTTTTTTTTAAAGGAAAGATTATTATTTTAAACTGCTCTCGTAAATAATGGTGCTAAATTATTTGTAGTAAATTAGAATCCAGGATTGAGAATCCATTATCTCAATCATTATCTCAATAGGCAGTAAATGTCTGTTACCCCATATGTAAATAATGAATTATCTCAATCCTACAGAGACTTTTGCTTTGAGAAACAGATTTATTGTGATAAAACATCAATTTGACATAAACCCCAATTTCCCTTCGGGGTCAAAGAAACCAAAAAATACATATCCATAATTGTTTATAATTCAAAACCAGTTTGGACTAAACAAAATTACCTGACATAAAAACTCAGTTCAGCAACTATAACAGTTAACGTAACCTCTGTACCTACAAAAAAATGAAAGCAGTAATGTTTATTACAGTTCACACACTGGCACTTGAAATGAAAACATTTATCCCATCACAGAAAACACGTGCTAGATAGAGTTGAGAAGAGAAGCAATTATTTTAATTTCTATTGTACCTCAGAGGGAACTTTAGGAGGTAACTTACCTTTCACTGAGTATGGCTCTTTGTATAGATAATATGTGCATACATATATTTAGGTTATGTACGTATGTATAAGTACACATATACAGTATTAGCTCAGTTTGGTATTTTATAGAGGTATATTTGGTATTAGAGTTTAAATTGTCTCAAGGAGCTTTGAGACCTTGATTTTTTTCATATCGTAAAATGAGCTACAAGACCCTTTAACTGAGCAGTAAAGAAAGTAGCCAGTTTTATATAAATAGCATTTATTATTTTATGATCATTTTATTTAGTTTGTTATGTGCAGATGTTTTCCCCACTAGAATTTAAGTGGTGTGAAGGGAGGGATCTTGTATGTCTTTCACAGCATTGTATTCCCACTGTAACTCTCAATAAATACTTACTGGTTCAACGAATGAATGGACAGATAAGCAAGTGTGCTAACAAGTAAGCTTTTAGGATTGTACATTTTAATGTTTTAATGCCATTAGTAGATATGTGGTCACTATCATTTTTCTATTTTGCATATCATGATTTTTGTAAGGTTATATAACTATAGATTTTAGTGACTTAAGGAAAAGAAAAGGGAAAACACTAAAAGAAAAGGCCTTAAAATCAGAAGACCTGGTTTTAAATCCCAGTCCCTCCATGTGAGTTCCTCAATTTCCTCCTTTATAAAACATAGATGATAATGAGATGTCCTTCAAGTCCATAGTGGATCTGAAGGGGGGGCTATTATTTTCTGTGAGACCAAGAAGAATGTAACTGACATGGCCATGAATCCACACAAAACAGAATGCACTGTGTTTACATGGGACATTGCACAGTCACAAAGATAAATTACACTACAAGGCTTCAGAGAGGTAATTATAAAGTTTTGGGGGCAACCAACGTGGCTCCTTGTGGTTTGGACATTCCTGTAGTTGACCTGGTGATTCAAAGTTCTCCTCCTCAGGATATTGAGCCCTATATCCATATCCATCTCTCTGGATGCACAGGTAGAGCTGGACAGACAGGAGTTTGTATATGGTTTCTTGTTTGTTTGTTTTTTGTTTTTTCAGACGGAGTCTTGCTCTGTTGCCCGGACTGGAGTGCCGTGGCGCGATCTCGGCTCACTGCAGGCTCTGCTCCCGGGTTCACACCATTCTCTTGCCTCAGCCTCCGAGTAGCTGGGACTACAGGCACCCGCCACAATGCCCGGCTAATTTTTTGTATTTTTAGTAGAGACAGGGTTTCACCATATTAGCCAGGATGGTCTCGATCTCCTGACCTTGTGATCCGCCCACCTCAGCCTCCCAAAGTGCTGGGATTACAGGCGTGAGGCACCGCGCTCGGCTTGTATATGTTTTTATCAACCAAGAGAAAGAGGTAAACTAAGATACGTGGAACAAAAACCAGGAATTACTTTTAAACGTGTAGGTGTTCCTTCTACAATGGATTTGGTTAAATTTAAAAGCATGGATGCCCTAAGGTCTCTGACTTCCATTTCTTATGCTGCTGTTGATTTTTTCCAACCATCAGCTCAGATACTGATAGAAGAGAAAGGGGCGATGGATGCATTGGCTTCAGCTTTAGCCCACATTTCTGGCGTATCAAGCTTTGAACCATGATCTTTAATCAACTCTGATAAGGGTTTTGTGATCATGACTCTGGAAAGTCTAGAGGAAATACAGGATGTCAGCTGTGCTTGGAAAGAACTTAACAGAAAGCTGAGTAGTAATGCAGTGTCTCAGATTACCAGTGTGCCTCCTGAAAGGAAATATGGGTGTTTGCTTTGATATTCCTCCAACTGAGTCACAAAGGCTACAGGCAGAGTGGCATGATTCCGGCCAGCTAAATTACCTGAAGTTGAAGAATATTATGATGGAAACATCTTCTAATTCCAGACAGAGGAGTGGCTGGTCAGGTGGGTCAGGTGGTCAGTCTGAGGGCGTCACTCAGGAAGTTGACAAGGTGGTAGAAGACAAAGTGGAATAGAAATTGATCAAGAAGTGGGGGCCACAAACGGAGTTTTAACTGAGTATTTGATAGTTAATCTACCAGTGTGAGCTTGCCTATTTCTACCTAATCATGTACATTATCCACCAAAAATTAGGTCATCATAGTTGAGGTATGTGTCTGCTATTAGCAAAGAAGTTGATAGTATTTTTATAAAAATGTATTTCACAAGAATGGTTGTAAACACATCTACTTATCCAGTTATACCTTTGAATAAAAAAAAAAAAAGAGCCCTGGCTGAGGGGGAGGTCTATTTAGATGGTTGGAAGCCTTAGGTTTTATTTTTTATTTATACTACCTAAGTTTAAGTCCAGGCCCACCACTTACTAGCAATGTGATTTGGATTAAATTACTTTACCCTTTTGGACTATGGTTTCTTCATAATGTTTTGAGTATTAAACAAGTTACTACATATAAAGCACTTAGAACAATGTCTGGCATATAGTATGCATTTAGTAATGTTATATGTTAATATCAAGTTATTCAGTTTTCTTTTAGTTCAAAACATATAAACAAAACATTAACAAAATACATTATCAAAGACTTCCAGTTGGTGATATATTCCTATTATGTATATTTGATGTATACTCTGGTTTACACATATAGGTGTGTAATTCATATCCACATATGTGTATAAAGCTACATAATATATATGGTTTATATGTATGTATATGAACATGTATGCATTTGCAAGAGAGCAATATGAAAAACAAAAACATTTGAGGCAAAATACATCATACAGTAAAAAAAAAAAAGTAAATTGAAAAACCTTTGGATCCAAACTTTCTTGATGATAGAAGGATATAATTACTCTTTCAAAAGATCTTCACTTTTAAGTAGTTGATAGTTGAAGCTTGGGTCATTTGCTTTGGTATTTCTGTTGGCTTAGTATTTCTTTCAACATGTATCCTTTATAATACATTCTTGCAATAACCCTGTTAGGAAGTACAGTATTCCTGAAAACCCAGTAGAGTATCAGTTTCTGTAGTTTGGAGGTTTCTTGCTTTCTGGTCCAAAGTTTTGTAATGTCAGTTTTATGAGGTAGTCAATCAATAACTTGCTGGAAAATAAAAGTCGAAGTCTTATTTTCTTAAGCATAAGTCATCTTTCCAAGGTAGTTAGCGGGCACATATCCTTTCTGCCCTTGAGCTTCAGCTAACCACCACTCTTTATTGCCACTTAGGTCACAAAACCTAAGTATACGAACTCTCTGATATTCCTGAAGGCTGAGTTCATGGTCACTCCGTGCTTGAAAAGCATGAACTGCATAGAAAATCTAGACAAAGAAACAAATGACATTATTGGAATTGGAACCTGAATATTAAGAGAAACATCATAAGAGTTTCCAAGCTTTTAGAAGCAATACTAAAGTTTTCTTATTTTTCCAAAGTCACATTGTCCAACTCCTTCTATTGGATGTATTTTGCTAAAATATGACCCAGGTGAGAATGGAACGAAATAGGTATTGTCATTATTCTGTTAAGAGGAGTATAAATTGTCCATGCTTGAAGGCAACTTGGCAGTTTCTATTAAATGATTTTTAATAATGTTAAAATGTTAATTCCTTATGAATCAAAATAGCTTGAAGAATCTCTTCTACAGAAACATTGGCAGAAATTTTTGCATACCAATGTTACTGGATTACCCATACAAATGGCAAAAGTGGGAGAGTAGTAGGAATATCACTAGAAGTTCAGCAAGAGCAAAATAGTTAAATTCCAGACCCTCATACTAAGGAAATTTGTAGTCATTAAAAACAGTGCAGGCTGGGCACGGTAGTTCACACCTGTAATCCCAGCACTTTGGGAGGCCGAGGTGGGCAGATCATGAGGTCAGAAGTACAAGACCAGCATGACCAACATGGTGAAACCCTGTCTCTACTAAAAAATACAAAACTTAGCTGGGCATGGTGGTGTGCGCCTGTAATCCCAGCTACTCAGGAGGCTGAGGCAGGAGAATTGCTTGAACCTGGGAGGCAGTGGTTGCAGTGAGCCAAGATCGTGCTGTTGCACTCCAGCCTGGGCGACAGAGTGAGACCCTGTCTCCAAAAACAAACAAACAAACAAACAAAAACAAACAAGAAAAATGATGCTGTTTGAGACTAATAATATGGGAAACACTTATGATAAAATTGTAAACCTTAAAAAGAACAAAAAATTTGATGTACATTATAAGTGTAATATTGTTATTGTTTCTTTGAATGGTACAATTATAGCTGATTTTCATTTTTACTTCCTTGTTCCCTTCTTTTTTTCCCAAACCTTTATAATGACAATGTATTAAATTTATAACTTTAAAAATTATTTTGTGACCTAGAATAATAAAATATTTCAGTCAAAAGAATTTTTTCTGACCTCAAAAGAATCCTTTTTAATTATTAAGTGTGTAAGAAGCCCCAAAATAAGTGTTTAGTTATTCTTCCAATAAAATCATAAGATTGATAATGAAAATGTTTAGTTATGGCATAAAATTAAGCAATTGGCTTAATTTATTCCCATTCATTTATTTAAGCAACATATATTCCCATTCATTTATTTAATGAAAATTTTTCTAGTACCTACTAAGTACCAGGTATTATTTTATTGGCGAACTTACAACTTAGCCAGGAAAAGAAAATGCCAGTGAACAAAACAAAACACACCAAAACAGCAACAACTCTACACACAGATGATACATCAGCCAATGGTGAGCTGGATTTTGAAAGAAGTTTTCTTTCATAAATGACAAAGCTGACAAAAGGCATGAATATGTCATATTTGAAGGTACAGAGATGAATACATGAAAACAACATATAGGAAAAGACAAGCAGATTAACTCTCAAACTTGAGGTTCAATATATAAGGGAAACTATGAGAAATAAGATGACTTCATTACTTCATTAAGCAGGAAAAGAGAATGGGTACTGTGGAGAGGAGACTATAGCTGTAGCTGAAGTTGTTATTTAAATATTAAACTTATTTAACTTTTGATGAAACTTTGATTCCATTGATTGGTATATTGATTTATCAACTAATATGACCTGCTCCCCAAGGAAAGAACCATATTGCCATGGTCTGAATGTTTGTTTCCCCTCAAAGTTTATGTGTTGAAAGCCTAATCCACAAGGTAATGCTATTAAGAGGTGGGGCCTTTGGGAGATGATCAGCCTTCAGCTTCCTGAATGGGATTTGTTTCTCTTTAAAAGAAACCTGAAAGAGACCCTTCACCCCTTCCACCATGTGAGGGCCCAACAAGAAGGTACTACTCTATGAACCAGAAAGTTACCCCTCAGCAAATACCACATAAACTGCTGCCTTGATCTTGGACTTCCAGCCTCCACAACTGTGAGAAATAAATTTCTGTTGTTTATAAGCCAACCAGTTTATGGTATTTTGTTACAGCAGCCCAAATGGACTAAGACACACATTTAATTAAACTTTTCTCCATTGACCACATTGTGGTACAAAGTATGAATTCAAATATTGATTGATTTGACCTGAAAATTAGTAGGAATATTCAAATATTTATTGAAAGGCATGGCTATCATACAAGAGATCATCTTGTATCATAAAAGATACATATAAGAGATTGATGAACATGGTCAAATTATTACATAATTTTTTAAGTAAACAAGAAAATTAAAAGTACTATAAATTCTTTAGCAATGGAGTGGTAGCAATAATAAACACCTTTTATGGAGTGCATGGCAGTTATATGTTAAATGTGCTTTGTCCTCAACCACCCTATGAGTTGTGCTTACAGAAGAAACATATTTTTAATTATGGAGCTAATTGGTGCTGCTATGACCAATATCTTCTAACTTCAAATCCTGTGCTTGGTCTATTTCTCATAATGCTTTAGAGACCAAACTCTTGTTCTAGCAAGTATGTACAGAGTGTATTCTTGCGGAGAGGGACTGGAGTTTCTAGTATATTGTAGACGGTGTTGTTTTGTTGTTTAGAAAGTGAAAACATTGAATAAATCCACAGGAACAGAATGGAAGATTTGGTTTGCAAAAGTATTTGGGAATGTAATGTACTATAATACATCTGAAACATCTGTAAGAGCCTGCATTAGTAGTTGGTAATCATCTTTTATAATTTTTATAAATAATAGGTAATGCTTTACCAATGCAACTATAGATGTTTTAGCAGGTTAGATAGCCTACTAATAGAACATTTCTAAATATTTGTGGTAGTCTTTCACTTTAGCAGAATTCTCTCAAGTGAAATATAAACTCTTCCACCTAGATCTGTTTGGTATGAAATTATAGTTTATATTCTAAATATTAAATATATATTCTCATGCAATTGTAAATTTAAAGTACAAAATTATATACTTTCAATGCTTTAGATATCCATGACCCAAAATTTATTTAGGATGAGCACTTTTTAGTTTTTATATAATTTATGTTATATGGGGGCATATATTATATACTCGAAATGGAAGTAAGCTGCTTTTAAAGAGGCAGCAGTCTATTTTCAGTCTCTTTTTAAAGTCTCCTTTTTAGTATTTTTAGTCTCCTTAATGTTAGACTACAAGTTATAAATTTTTAACATGTCATGCATTTAAGAACTGTAAGATTTATCATTATCTTCAATATTTTAATTGTTTTAGTCTGTATCTTTCTAATCTTAAATGCTACGTTTTGGTCCAGGCACATTAATTACAATGTTGTTAATTTGAGCCAATCTTAAATTGCTAATTTTCTTCTGTTTTTCCTTGGCACTTTTAAAAATGTATTTATTGATTGCTTCTTTGTACTCTATAAAGCTCTAACTCATTTTATGTGCAATATTCTGTGAATACAACTCCGTTTTCTACCACACTTACTTTTTTTTTTATAACACTGTATTATTGACTCATACCTAATTTATTACCCACTGCTTATAACCACCAGATCTTTCTCTGTGGTAACATTCCCAGTTCGGCATTCCCTTATTCTATATTTGTGCATTTAATTTTCCTTCTTCAGTGAGCCACATTACCTGTCTTCACTGAATATCATTTTATTTTTATCCCAATTCTCCAATTAACAGCAACAAAAGTCATAATATATGTTAATCTTCTTTTCTAAAACTAAAAGGTAGAGAATCAGCATTTATGGTATATCATACGTATCTCTGGAAACTAAGATGGTTATATTGCATGAAAAATGCTCATTATTCTCTCTCACCCTTCAGGAGCAAGCTTTCATGTTCTTCACTTAACAATTATATGTTTTAATTACACAAGCAATTTTGATGAAGAAAAAAATGTTTAATAAAGTTAAGCAAAACAAAATCCACCCAACTGCTATTAGCATCTTCTTTTCCTTCCTCCCATCTTCCTCTCTTCCTTTCTTCCTTCTTTCCTTCCATTTTTGTGTTCTACCTACCTACCTGAAGTGGTAATAAAAATGGATTTATAGTATACATAACTTTGCAGGTGGTTTTCCACCTCATACTATTTTTGAAAATCTCTTCATGTTAATAAGCCAACTTTTTGAAGCACTTTCTAAACAATGACACAGTAGGCATGTAGCATCGTCATCATAGGTAGTTGGAAAATGTAAAGATGAACATGGGATTGGTAACAAAATGACTACTTTTTTTAGAAGTCAAAAATTATATTTTCAATATTACTTACATGGAAAAAGAAAACAGCACTGATTCTCGGACACTGAACTGCCCCCCAAAACTGGATTTTAGCCATTATTAAACCGAGTCCTTTTTTAGAAGTGCCAAGGACAAGATTCTACTTGCCAAACAAGGCATCTTAGACACTCTGGAAGGCAGAATTCTAGGATGGACCCTGAGAATCTCACCCCCTACTGTACATGGTCTACATAATCTCCTTCCCTTGATTGTGACTGGAACTTCTTAATAGATGTGCTATTACTCCTGTGATTAGGCTACACTCTCTAGCAAAGGTAAAGAGATTCTGCAGAGGTGCTTGTTAAAGTCCCTAGGAAATTGATTCTGAGTTAGTCAAAAGAGGGATTATCCTGGATGGGCCTGACCTACTCAGATGTGACCTTTAAAGTGCATTGAGGCCTCCTCTGAAGGGAGAGACTTGAAGCCAGAGAGATGCTCACCCACTGACTTTGAAGAAGCAAACAGCCATGTTGCAAACTGCCTATAGAGACAGCCACATGGCAAGGATTTGAGGGCAGCCTCAGGTTGTTGAAAGTGGTCTCTGGCTAATTGCCAACAAGAAAAAGAAGTCCTTAGTCCAACCAGAACAAGAAACTTAATTCTACCAATGACCATGGGCTGGGAAGGGAACCTCCAGTTTCAGAAGCAATAAAACCAGCAA